AACCCACTTTACAATTATATTTAATGTTTTTCTTTCTCTGCTCTTGATTTGACTTTGACCTTGACTGTAAAATACAGTAACTACAAAATGTTGCATCAAACAAACATTAAAAGAAAAGAATGGCAGCAAACAAGAAAATCCCTTTTTTATCCAGCAGCCATGCAGCCTTACAGTCCTCAGCTGAACCACTTTAGTTCATATGTTTGCATCCTCCAAGGTCAATCGTATTTTTATTTACCATGTTTGGCTTTCTGGGGCTGCATGTTATTGCAATGTGAGAACATGTTGACAGCTGCTTTTTTCCCCTGGTCTGTAAAACTAATCCCTCAATTATTGTAAGATTTGTTTCCCTCTCTTTCTCTGTCCAATAATTCTAACAGTATCACTTCAGTGTGCAAAGATATTTTTCTGCCTTGAGCCGAGCAGAACCATCCGGAGAGATATTGACACAGTAAAACTGAATTCAACACAAGGAGGAGCGCATCGACAAACACATTAGACACGAGAAGTTAAAACAAAATACAATGAAACCATGGTGTGCAGATTACACTCTGCTTCAAACAGACCCAGTGTGTTGAAGAGCTTATAAAAGCTTATAGATTTTTATAGGTGGTTTTAGCGGGCTTAGGCCACGAGGGGAACTGAGTCAATGGTGTGGAAGATCGGAAAGCAGGTCATGCGATTTTGGTTTAATCTTCAGCATTTGTATTGATCCAACATTTTGAGGGAGGTGTTGGAAACTGGAGGCAAGGGCTAGTGTTGTAACTTATCTGGAGACAGTATTTCCCGAACATTGTCGTCAAAACGATTCAAAGAATAATTAGGAAATGATTGCTCCTTGTCTTATCATGTCAGTGAAATTTGAAACATGAGCAGTTTTATGATACAGGACATGATTGTTGACTTTTATGCTGGCTTGGTACGTGCTATCTCTGTGGCGCAGCTGTGGCTTTTAAAAGGTCCCCTCATAAACCAAAATGGCTATAAAATGCCTGCAAGTTGTTTTTAAAGGGAAAGAAAGAGGCAATAGTAAAGATGAGCAGAAAGATGGCAAAAAAGAGAGAAAATTGGGAAGGGAGAGATCAAAGCAGGAACAGATGGACGGTTATGAATCAAAGGAAAGGTGCATAAAAAGATAAAAATATATCTCTCTCTTTGCATCCCAGAATACTCCCCTGTGAGGATTTGTATCTCAAATGTGGAGAAATGATTGATTCAGATGTGACCATGAAGCTTTTATTGTACACAGGGGGATGAATGTCATTACAGTCGTGCATCTTCTAACCAGCTGGACGCTTCTCCTTTTTGCCAATAACACTTATTGATTAAATTCAAATGAGCTCTGCTTCTTTTAAACGCCACGTCAAGAAAAGGATGTTTTGGCGTCCGAAATTGTTCTTTCTTTATTCATAAATCATATTGTCAATCAGTCCGCACGTAAAATCAGGAACATGTCAGAGTGGGATGTTAGCGAAGTTACCCCAACTAGAAGTAGTCATTATTTAGAAAATGCAATTGTAAAGTTGATTAAAAGCTCATATCGATTTGATGGACGTGGGGCTACATGGAGTATCTTGTTAGCCTAGCTTAGCATAAAGTACGAAAGTAATACATACAGACATATTCTGGAGTCTCGTCCTCACCACGGTATTGCCAAGCAACTATAAGAGAAGTGACTGCACGATAGATTTTACACTTTCTAAACTGATTTTAGAACAAACACCAACATATATCTTATCTAGTGAGCTTTAGAGACACTAGTGTGCATTTTGTTACCTTAGGACAGGGCGTGGCTAGCTGTTTCCCTATTTGCAGACTCTTTGCTAAGCTAAGCTAACGACACTAGCTCCATATTTAGCATGCATAACAGTGGTGACAATCTTTTCCTGCAACTCTTGCGTATTTCCCCCCCCCCCCTATTCCAAGACTTTATTAGGTTTGTGAATGTTTGCTGTACATTTCCAGCATGTAAATAAGAAAACCACAGCATTAATGCAACACATTTAAAGTGGGTGTTTCTCAATGTCGAGTAAAGCTGCTCCAGAGCCACTATTTCAAGCATACTACGTCATCAAGTGCCGCCGAAGGAATGTTCTAATGTCCAGCATACTTGGAATTCTACCGAGCCCGGCATACTTCGTAGCGAGAAATTTCGAGGCTGCACATGTGTAGACTCGGCGGTCTTAAGATCCCCACAATGCTTTGCGCACGGACCAATTTCCTGCACACTTGCTCGCCTGTTCCACTCTTCGTTTTCCGAATGCCAGGAAGTATTCTTGCCTCGCTTCTGAAGCAAGTGACTCGGAAGACATGTGCTACCAAGCAAGCGTACTAGACATTGAGAAACACCCCGACTCTATTAACCTAGATGTTTTTATACCTTGTCCTGCAGAATATACAGCCTCTATCTGCAGGAGCAAGAGGCTCAGTTGTTTCCAACGCTGGCACTAATCTGCGTCCCCTCAGAGACCGCCTGTGTTCTCGACCTATTAAAGACGGCCACAGCGGTGTCATGGTCGTTACAGCGAACACAATTAGAGGAGCCGTTAACAATGGGAATTAATTTGCTGTCATGCCCTCCTTGTATTGTCTACTGTTGCTGTCAAACACCCCCCTTTCTCAGTCTTTACAGAGCGGTACAATAAGAGACCTTTAGAGTCTGCTTAGCCAAGAAATTCTAACTTTTCAAAGGACCTTTTGTATCTTGCAATAAACTGTTGCTGAAAGAACAGATTGAAGTAATCTTTAAGTGAACCAGCCTTCTTGAAAGACGTATACAAGAAGACATACATCTCTTCTTTTCCCGGAGGACAAACAGAAAGAAAAGCAGAGGGTGAGGAGGGCAGAGAGTTTGCCTACATGTCAGAAGATGGAAAGGCAACAGGGGGGCGATAAGTGATCCAGGGGTGGTTACTGCTGAGTTCACTGTACAGGCCTTACATTCTCATTTAATGTCTGAACTCTTTCTCTCCATCCTTCCATGTGTCCTTAGTCCATGGATAAGGACACGGCATATGGAAGCTGCTCTTTTTTTTACTGGACACATCTTCTGACAGCAAGAGTAATTGAGCAAATAGCCCTCTTGCACACATCGTGCCTGCAGGACCCAGAGCAGGGGGGGATGGGGAGTTGTAGAGAGGATGGATGGAAAATCAGTGTAAAAGGGGGCAGATGAGAGGAAGAGTGGGGGGAAGGGATGATGCTGGAGAACGAGATGGATTAAGGGAACGTGAGGAATGTGAGGCAGCGACCAGGTTGAAAGATAGGACACACTGATGGAGGAGGAACGTGAAGCACTCAGGCCTTCTCACATGCACGTTAACATTTTATAACCTCTCTCTTTCTCCGCTACATTTCAGTATCACCAGTTTGTTCCAGAAGAAAAGGGGAATGTCGATAAAAATGTACACAGCCATACTGCCAAACTACGGGGACATTTATTTCAAAAAATCTGTTTTTGTTGATAGAAATGCTCAAAATAACCTCTTCTTTAATTGCTAGACTTGTCATACTTCTTAAAGTGCAACCTTAACATGTTTGTGAGTTGTATGGTAAACATGCTGGAGGGGAGGAATTGACTTATTGTTTAAGTGATTTATCAAGCAAAAACCCTCTGGTTCCAGCTCCCTGAATGTAAAGATTTGCTGTTTTTTATTATAATATATCATAGTAAACTGAATATATTTGACCATATTCCAACATTTAATTGACAACATGATTGATCAGCAAATCCTAAAGACAGGCAGCCCTGTAGCCAAATGTACTTAGTTTTATTATTCAAGGGAACAAACTTTACAGAAACATTTTTTAAACCACATCAACGTCTCTGTCCGTGGTGTGTGTCTCTTTGTTTATCTCCATGGTGATAAAACACTGTCTCTACTTCTGTCTTTATATCATTCTTAAGTTAAACTGAGCAAAGACAGACAGCAATCCAAAGCACAACAGTGTACATTTAATGGCCTTTCACTTCATCTGAATTTGTAATCATTTTATGTACAAACTCCATCTGAGACACTGTTCATATTTTAGTTGTAAGGCTACAAACACATTGCACTTTACATTGATATTATGTGACCAGTTGTAACCTGGTTAAATCTTGAGAACAAACATATATTTATATATGTAAAATAAACACAGTTATGTTCACATTTACTGGTTAGCTTCAAACGCAATAGGGTTCATTCAAATCCTTTCTGTGTTCTTATCCCAATGAAGACATTATTTGTTCTTCGAACTCTCTTAACTGCACACACTTACAGCCTACTAAATGCCACCCTTTCATGAGGAGGTGATAATTGTGTTTGTTTTTTTTATAGACATAATCAACACCCCTAAACCCCATTTACGGCTACCTGTTCTGCTTGGTTTGTGGGCCTAATACATAGAGAATCATTTTACCAATGAGTAAAAACAACAACTTTCAAACTGCACAGCATATCAAAACCAAACAAGTGAGCAGTGACTACAGAGCTGTAAGGAGATCTGAAAAAAAAAAAAAAACTATAATAGTATCAAATCATGCCCTAAAAACAAGTTAAATCTTAATGTACACCCACTTGTATTCATATTCTACAATGCCCTGAGTTCAGAACAAATCTGGCAATCATCAATGGCAGCGGTGACTAGAGAATGTAATTGAGCGGTCTTGCCGACATCGGAGCATCGTTGGTCTTTGACATGGTGGTTAAAATATATCTGGCTGTACTTACATTCATTGATACGGCTGTACTGTAAATCTAGCACCAAAGATGTCCATGGCTCAAATCCAGGCAGCCATTGTCTTCTGTTTGCCAAACTAAGAAAGAATGAGTCAGAAGACAGACTATTGGTCAAACCGGCTACAGCCAGGAGGCACAGTGAATGCTGACTGTGGAGTAAAATCAACTGCACCCAATTCTAGTTGATCCCAAGGGATGGGATTTAAAATATGACTTGAAGAATGAAGAACAGATCATGACTTTACATTGTTTTAATATTTTCTATCTCTTTTCCCGCAGCAACCAAACAGTGCTTCACCAGTTCTGCTGCCCCGCCCCCGAGGCCCATGACGGGGAGACCTCTACTGCCTGTGTCCCCAGGTAAGACCTCCGCATCCTTTAAACACCTGCACAAATATTAAGTTGTTTACTTATATTATTATTTATATTTATTATTTATTTCCTTTTGAACAGTTTCATTTGTATTGTTTGTACATTGTAATTGCAGCCACTTACCATGCATCCTGTTAGTAGCGGTGCGGCCGTAGCTCCTTTAGGCAACACAACTACCCCAGCAGAGGTTTCTGTACGTTGAAGTGGTTGTAAATGCTTCAGGTCACTTTCAGGGACAATCTGAATTCCTAACCTCCATGATCATTATAAGCCAATAAGAGGGAGATTGTTATATCAGCTTGGGTTTTGGGTCCGGTTGAGGCTGTGAGATTGTTTCCTGAGTGATTATGAGACCGTTATTTCCACAGAGGTGTCAGATAAAGATAAATAAACTCAGCTGTAATATCCAAATCAATCACTTCCAGATCCCATTTCCTGGACAATGCTCAAGTCCTTGGTGAGTTATTGGAATAATATTACATTGAGTTTAGTCAGCAAAGCAAGGCGATTATGTTGTTATCTCTTTATGTCAGATTGCCACATGACAGTGATGGAGCTGATGCTGGCCAATTGGAAATCAAACTGTGTACAATGCATACGATTTCCAAAAAATAAGCTCCTGTAATACATCTAATATGCTTTTGTACCACATCTTTGTGAGGGTAAACATCTAGAGTTGAATTGGAAGTTCGTCAGGTATTAAAAGATTAGATTGGCAAGAACAAAAATAAATAATAATCGCCTTTGATAAGGTAGAGGCAGAATTGACCACACACAATTGTGTTTGCCTCCTGCTTGTATTTAATAATGGACCACCAGAGTTTCACTAATAATTATGGCATTCATCAGGCAGCAGTAGCAATTAAGCAACCCGTCCAATAATAGTTTGTTTTTTTGTCGACTGCTACTCACGCATTGTATGAGCTTGGCAGAAAATAGCAGATTGGCGAACACATATTGATGGCAAATCATAGACCCTGCGGTGCTGGAAAGAATAAGTGGCAGAGCAAGAAGCAAACAAAATCACACTTTAAACCCCTCAGAGGCCTGTGCTGTGTCAGCCACATGGATAGACTGAAGGACACATACATGTAGGGTTGAATGGAGAGCAGGGACTCTTTTTATTTGCTTTGTTTGCTTTACCAGATCATTTCTCCGGTGTTGACTGACTCAAAACCCAAGTCTCTTACAGTATTTGTTGTCACAAAAGTCCCTTAATGCCTCTATGTAATACATTCATAGACAGTGGTAGAAGTTGAACAGGAGGTACTCACATAAAGTCAAAGATGGAGGGGAAATTGAAAAGCCAAAAGTCGTGAATCGATGGTCGTTCAGCAGCTTGCTCGATAAAAGCTGTTTGGTGCTGTTGTGTTTTGTGATTGCTTTGGGCTTAGGGACCATTAGCTAAAGGTACAAACAAAGTTCACAACAGAAGGGCTTTGCTAACTCACCGTTCTCTGAAGCGAACCACTTCAAAGCAGGACTCTCTGGGGCCGAGACAGAAAGCAGCTTGTGGTTTTGTCTTTTTCGTTCTTGTTGTTCTTGTTGCGTCTTATCTCTTTTTGAAAGCCGTCGTTGATTTCCGTATTTCCGCATTGTTGTCAGTGATTTGTTGGTCATTTACTCACGTGGCATCACCACATCACATCACAGCGACACAGCTCCACATGGCACCCACACCTCATCGCATCCATCATCATTCATGGTCACTTCATTCGGGCTTGTCTCTCCACTGTGCTCACGTTAAGTTTGAAAGAGTCATGTATGAGTATTACCATGTAACAAAAGTGTAACTATGCAATGTAAAAAAATACCATAATGCATTGGTGTGTGTACTGTAGGGTCTTTCCCATGCTGGAACCTGGTGACACATGTAATGCATCTGTGTTCATGTGAAAAAAAACAGTTCTTATCATGTTGCATGCTTTGGCTTGGCAGTGATCAGAACATAGCTCCCTGTCTTTCTGTGTGTGTGTGTGTGTGTGTGTGTGTGTGTGTGTGTGTGTGTGTGTGTGTGTGTGTGTGTGTGTGTGTGTGTGTGTGTGTGTGTGTGTGTGTGTGTGTGTGTGTGTGTGTGTGTGTGTGTGTGTGTGTGTGTGTGTGTGTGTGTGTGTGTGTGTGTCACTACTGTACACACAGCCTACATTAGATTACTTATATACCCTGGGAAAACACACACCAGTCTGCACACCACCGCAACAGCAGTGAAATCCATAGATTAACATTATTTACATCAATTTTAGGCTTTTTTGATTTTCCTCTTCAATCTCATATATCTGTATATGAATGGATAGAGAAAATGTCTGAGTTACAAGAATTCAAAGATTGTCAGACTTATTTTGGGGGATAATAATGCGCCCATGTTTCTGTAAATGCACGACTAAAGTTTCCACAATGTTTTGGAGGAAGTGAGCAGAAAGTAGAATGTTGTGGCCTGCAACATGAGCACTGTGAACAAAAGTGTATTAGAAGTTTACAGTTCGTTTAGAAATTGGAACGGTTTAAAGTTTGCCGAATTAGCTATTAGCAGTTCTTGTTTGCAATGTTCACATGGATGTATAGAAAACTGTCGCTGGATTACTTTGAACACAAATGTAATAAAACTCAGGCAAGTTATTGAGGTTTGGGTTAGGGTTAGGGTTAGTTATATAAAGCGACTGTTTTCTATGATTTCCAAGTGGTTTTATGGACATACATTCGCAATGGAAATCGGTCATCAGAAAGTCAAATTAACTCTAAATCAAGAAATGTGTATATGTATTGCAAGTGTCTTGGTTTAACTAAGTTATAGCAATTTTGGACGCAAACGGCTACAATTAAACTTTGCTAACACCCTACACGTACCTCTTTTTCCTATCAAAGCGGGTGTATTCTGTCATCCTGAATGATTGAGGGGATCCGACCGCCAACAAACAAGGCCTGATTACCATATACAAAGGACAACTCATCGCCTCTTTGTGCACGGCCTCCACTTCAGGATGTAATGAAACCCTATTTCCCACGCTGAACCTGACAGACAAAGTGCAATCATTGATATTTCATTTGCGCCGCTCTTTCTGCTGAGAGTAATTCAAGCCTCTGAGTCACAGGGGTCAGCTCAGAAAAGGGCACCTGCCTGAGCCTTTACAAGAACTCATTGTAGTAAATTGAAGCAATGCTTGCGCTTGATTTGTACCTGTCCGCTCTGTGGAGCTTTATCTGATCAGTTAGGAAGCGTGAAACGACAGGTAATCCTCAGAATCACAATCAGAATCCCTTCTTTGTCCAGCAACGGGGAAATGTGCATATTACAACAGCAGAAGTCTAGTGCAGATAAAGTAAAGAGAATAGACTTACATATACAAAAAGTAAGATAACTAAGTATGCATACGTTATTAATAATACAAAAACACAAGTAGTACAAAAACAAATAGCAGATAAATGCATCATGGTAAAACAAGTTGCATGTATATGTGTATATATATATATATATATATATATATATATATATATATATATGTGCGTTTTTTTAAAGTGAACTTATCAAATTAAAGAGGTAGCCTGTACTGTTTTCAGATTGTAGATACATTGGAATAAATAATAAAGTGTGAATTGCACGAGGGTATATTGCAGTTTTATATTTACAGGTAGGGTTATTGCACATCAGTGGTGTTACAATCTAACACGGTGTATGTAGGATCATTTAAATGAGAACAAAGTTGGATGTTTTCAACTGAGAGGGGTTTGAGGACTCCACTGTCACATTTAATAAGGACCCTACGGAGTTCGGAAACTCACCCTGGTAGTCTGGTCACTCTTGCAAATCTTTAAGGAGGCACCATTGGGATTAGGGACTATAGGGGGTTGAATTCAGGGTCACCAAGTCAGATATATAATCATTCATGGAAGGAGCTGATGGTGGGGATGGCCACTGCCTTTCAATTATGACTGTGAGCTATCTCCTGCTGCAGCGTGCTAACACTGCACACTGGAGTTGTTCCTCTTACAGCTCCATAGGGACCTCTGGTTATACTTTCTGCTTTGCAGCGAAACTGAGAACTGCTGCGGTGGACACACAGGGACCAGACACCTAATAAAGGGAAGGAAAGCATTATTAGAGTATTCTAGCATGGAGAATGGCACAGCAGGAGAACTATAAACAAGGATACTCAAGCTGCAGGAAGATGTTACCTTCAAAATCGCTATTACGGAGAGTCCACTTTTAAACCAAACTGAAGCTAACTGTGTACATAGAAAGGCTCATACTCATTCATAAAATGTCTGAATTTGACAGTCAGAGCTTCCGAGGATGAGGAAAACATCCCAAGAAACAGTATCTGTTTGCACTTGATACAACTTATGTTGCACAAATTGATGTTCACAGTTGGATGCCACAGTTTGAAGTTTACTCAAGGGTTTGGGATCACATCCAAATCATTTTACCAAGTGTTGAAGTGAAACTGCCTCCATGAACTCCCACTTGCAAATGGAGATAGTTGCAGTGTTGTTTTATCAACAGTGTGTACAGTGTGTGTGTGTGTAAACAAGTACAAGTATCAGTCTGAACAGAGTGAGCACTGGGTATAATAACTCAGTCACAGAGACATGAGGATTCATTTCCTTACACCAGTGAAATTTACAGATCGAAACTGCTGTTGCAATTATAACTTTCTAAATGATTTAATTTCCGGCAAGGTATCAAGTATCCAACTATAACTGAACAGTTTCCCTTAAAACCATTTCCCTTTTAACAAACATAATGTATATATAAGACCACATTCCTGGAATATCATCCAAGACACACAATGTCTTGAATAACAATGTCTTTAATCAAAGACTTTGTCCCGTGAGTGCCAATATGCATTTGAATGCATCACAATTAGCATAAAAACCACTCTGCTGAGTTCTCATACTTGTAGTTTTAAATGTAGCTGCACTATTTTAGCAGAAGGACTGACACAGTATGCGTTTTCTTGCTTCAACAGCAGTACTTTAAAGGGTTGTTGTAA